ACTTCTTTGAGTTTCCGCATTCTTTATTCCTAATTTTTATTTAATTCTATTGTTAAAGAAATCTTTATTGTAAATATAATTTCTTTTTTATGTCTTACGCTTTATTCACATAAAGTTGTAATAGAGATTGTAATAATGATTGTAATAAAGAATAAAAAAAAAATAAAAAAACATATTTTTAACGAGCTCACTGAAGTTGGAAATTGCGATTTAAACTAATTTTTTTGGATTACAACTCATGAAAATTGAAAAAGAAAAAAACTTGTTTTTTTTAGTGAGCATCTTAAAATGTATATAATTTGACTTTTTAAAATATAAATAGATTACCAGAAAAAAAACTATTCATGAAACACTACAAGAAAAACAAAAACTTAATTTTGGCAACTATTTTTGACTTTGCTGCCCAGTAGACACTCAACGTTGTCACTATCTCATGCACTACTATCATTAGAGTAAATATATTTTGGGTTTTCCTTAATCTAAATATTTTAAAGCAGAGACAATTTATTTTTGTATTTTGGCCACCCCAAAACACATAGAGCGTTCATATTGACAAAACACGTTTTATTAATTAATATTAATTAAAGGCATATAGTTTAAAACTAAAAAATATTGTCTCAATAATTTTAGTCAACATAAAAAGTTTTTAGTAATATAAAACAACATCATTATTATTATTTTTTTTTATATTATTTATTCAGTTTGCCGTTGATAAATATTACAAAAAAGAAATTACAATAAAAGAAAATCCTGGCCGGAGCAAGAAGAAGACAGGTTGTCTTATCACCGAGCCCCGTCACACAAAAATTTACATGCACAATAAATGATAAAAGACAAAAAGACAGTATAAATACAAAAACAAAAATAAAAAAACTTCAGCAATAAAATAATTTGTTGCTAACAATCTTCCAACAGAATAGTTTTAAAAATAAAAAAGTAAAAACGACAGAAAATCATGAAAGTTATAAAAACACACAAAAAAATGCGTTGTTTAATTAAAAAAAAAAAGCAATATATGTAAACATAAGTATTTGGGCTGATTATTTAATATTATCAAAAATATGAACGAAAAAGACAATTTTATTTTCGTTATCTTTTATACTAATGGTTTGAAACCATTTTAATAAAAGCTAAAGAAAGTGTTAAAGATTTATTTATTTTTAAGTGATTTAGTTTTAATTTTTAAATTGTTTTCAAAAAAGTTATTTGAAATCTAATATTTAAATTGTTTTCAAAAAAGGTATTTGAAATCTAATATATCGAATTCCATGTTCAGTAAATGCAGTTTTGAATTATCCTTAAAACTTTGCAAAGTGAAGTTTAAAATAAAGTTTTGTATTTTATTAAAGATTGGAAGAAATTTTTTCCAAACTAAAGGTCTCTTATATTGAATTTGGTACAAACTTAATTTAAGAAGGTTTATGGGAACCACAAAGTTATTCACTGAAATTTTGGTTGGATATTTATGGGAGATTTCATTAAAGTAGGATTGAAATGTTACTGGAGAAAACCCAAGTTTTGCTTTAAACATAAATAACATTACTTGATGAATATTAAGCTTATAATTATTTAAAGCTTCAAGCTGACGTAAGAGAGGTTCGCATTGTGTTTTTCTATTTGCCCCAAATATCATTGCCCAAAAAATCATTGTTTTTGTTTTACACTGTTTTCAATACTAAAAGTATAAAACGTGTTTTATTGTTATTATAATAATAATAAAATAATAATATACAATACTGTTGAAATTTAACGCCATGTTAAATCTTTTACAGACATAACAAGAAAGTTAAAGATAGTCAATTAAGTCTGGTTTAGCTTTAAATAAGTTAAGATTTTTAATTTTTACTGTTTCAATTGGTAAATTGTTCCAGAACTTGACTGTGTGATTTGTAAAAAAACCTTCACGATTTTGATTTAAATAATTCTTATCGGTTAATTAATGATGTTTATTACTTGGAATGTTTGAACACGGACCAGAAGAATTTAAAGAGTAAAATGTTGAGGGGGTATTTTCCAAGTTATTTTCTCTATATTATAATACAATTTGTACATTCCTCATATTCTTCGTTGTTTTAAAGATATTAATTTCATTTTTCTAGTCTTACACTGCATGATAGATTTTTTATAATTAATAAAAATTTTTTAGTTTTTATTAGTTATATTTTTTCATTAATCTTTTGTTATAAAACATTTATTAATTAATTATTATTTTATATATTTAATGAAAAATAGATATGGTTAAAGTAAAAAGTGGATCAATGAAAAGAAAATAAAAAGTTGAAGAACAGATGAAAATGAAAGAAGATATAGCGAAATGTGTTGGTAAATTTTTATGATATTAGGCTGTTCCTGTTCTTTTAACCAATATACCTATAAATGGCTATATTGTTACTTTTTAAAAAACATCCTTAAATGCAACTTGTGATACTAGATCACTATCAGTGATAACAGAAATATCAACACTGCACCTGGCTCATCACTTACTACTTTGTTTTCAACATCATCTACCCAAGATACATCATTAGTACCATCATTCTCTCAGGCTAAGGAGGCTATCTGTGATAATTTTAACAATGTCATTACTAATAAACCACGTATTGGTGTTGTAGTTGAATATGATTTTAATAAAAGCAATCATATGGATACTCGTAATACTGATTTAACTAATACTGTTTTCTTTGATATGGGTGATGATGTTTTTTCTTTGATGTGGGTGATGATGATGTGGGTGCTTGGAATATTGATCAGCAAATCAAGAAACGTGTCCAAAGATATATAACTGACAATGGCACAGAAAACTTCAAGCAAAAAAATTGAGATTTTTCCAAATCTGTACAAACTGTTGGAAAGCAGATAAGATGTTTTCAACCAACAACATTTTACCTTATTATTATTATCAAACATATTAATATAAATATTATTACCTTATTATTATTAAACAAAATAAAAAAAAGACTCAACATTAATGGATATGTTATTCCCCAATAAAAGGATCAGTATATTGCAAAAGGATCAGTATATTCCCCAGTAAAAGGATCAGTTTATTGCAAAAAATTTATTCATTCTTTTCGGCAAGTAAAAAAAGGTGTAATCAGTTGAAACTACTTTAACATTAAGTAATACAAGATGAAGTGCTAAAAGGATTCTCTAACATAACTGATGTTTTAAATAAAATTGGTTCTGATTCTGATGAAAAACCTATAACAAAAATAAAAGCAATTTCAGTATTTTGGAATTTGGTTTTGGAAAAATTTAATAATTGGAGTAAATGTCTTCAAAAATCTTACTTTGATTTAAATGCTGCAACATCACTTCTAAAATCCGTCAATGAATTTGTTTCAAATCTAGGAAAAGAATACAATAGTTTTGTAGAAAGTGGTAAAAAATTAACACGGTGTGAAACGTTCATCAGAAAAACAAATAAAAGAAGTAGAAAATATGATTTTTTATGAAAACCAGCATTTTAAAGTTTATGTGTTTTTTGTATGTGTTAATGAATTAAAAACTCAACTAAAAATTAGCCAAAATGTTTATACTGAATTGGGTTTTTTTTTTGGCTTTTTAAATAAGTTGAATAATTTGACAGTTCAGGAAATTTCGACAGCTGCTAATAACTTGCAAGTTGTATACAAAGATCATATTGATATGGATTTGGCTGACAAATTATTACATTTTAAACAATTTTTTTTTTTTTGATAATGTGTCAGACTTAGTGTCAATTGAATTACAGATGTTTGAATTCATTGAAAAGTTAAATTTACAATCAGTTTTTCTTAATTTGGAAACTGTCCTCTAAATATAAATAAATAAAGTAAGAAATATAACAATAATTTTTTTACTTAAAAATACATGTTTGCGTTAAAAATACAAAAATATGTTTGCGTTAATTCAAGTAAATACTGTTTTATTATATTTTTATAACATTTGATCGAAGTTATACTTTTCATGTACATCAAGAACTATGCGCAATAGACAAGGTTCTCTATATGAAATTGAGTAATCGAATTTTTCAAGAGTCGACTTAGGTAAGTTAGACTTAGAGACAGAGCATCTCGTTAAGTATTTTAAATTAATTTTCACAGGTCGATTATTAAATGATTTTGTAAGCGTGTTATCTTGATATTTAAACTTGAGAAAAGATTTTGAAAAAGTTTAACTTATAGACATTAAGGGCTTTAATTTCCTGTAGTAACAGCTTGGAGTGGGCATATTTATGCACATTATGTATCATTCTACTGGTTTGTTTTTGTTTCATATGAATAAATATTTACACGCCCAAGTTACAAGCTATTACAATAGTTATAGATAAAAGAGAAATACAAATCTTTTAAACATTTTTTATAGTAAGTATCCAAGTATAGAGCTTTGAGAAATTCCACAGCTTGTGGTCTCTAACTTTGTGTATGTTGAATCATAAATCATATTTAAAGATAATTTTGTAGCCAATTTAGGTTGCAGTTTAACACTTCATATGTTTCTAGTTTGTGCAAGTTCATGATCAATAGTGTCAAAAGATTTTGCCAAGTCAATGAACAAGCCAAGAGTATAATTTTAATAAAACATACTTTAATTCAACTTTATAATTCTTAGATTCATTGTCTTATTAGTTATGGCGATGTTGTCTAGGAAAGTATCCACAAAAGTAAACTAAAGCCTTTACATTTTTAGGAGAAGCATGAAACACGCCTTGTTATTTAAAAGATCATTTTACTCATTTAAAGCCTCTCCTATTTAGCACGAGCATTCCTAATATTTGAGATGATTATTTTTAACGCATTTTGTTTTATGTTTAAATGTAAAGTTAATTGATATTAGTTTCTTTTGGAATTAATATTTATGTAAAAAAAAAATTATACAACAACCAAGATTTAAATCAAATATTGCCAAATCCTGCATTCTATTTTTGTGGAACTTTTAGATGGAACAAAATAGTTTTGAAATATTTAAAAAGACTTAATATAAAAATGAAAATTACTTTTATTAAATAAAAAAACAAAGTCTTTTAGATAAGAAATTTTTTTTTAACAAACGTTACACGTTTTGCGACAGTTAAAATACATATAGGGTTTGTTTGTATTGCAATATCCTGCTTTTTGCCAACCAGCACAGTCTGCTGTCTTATCTTTATCAATGCAGTTGTTAGGAAGTGGTCCGCCTACAGTTAAAAAAAAAAAAAAATTTAAACAACATTAATAACTTAACTTATTTATTTGTCAACAGTTAAACTAAATTTACCTGCTGGGCAAGAGTACATCAGTCTAATTTGTTGAACATCAACAACACTGAAACCAATAATTTGGTTATATGTTTCGATATATTTCATATTTTTGGGATCTACTGTTGTTATGGTCTTCAAACCTGGTTTAGCAAATGCTTCTGAGCTGTAAAAGTATAATAAATTATAAAATAAAATTAGATATAAACTTAACTTTTCAAATAATTTGTTTATTTTCGAAGTTAAAAGAAAATTTTTATTAATTTTTTATTGTATATATACCGCTTAACAAATACAAACAATCTTAAATAAATTTTAATCATATTTGATATTACACTAAATTCTTTTCAAAAACGTTAGCTTATGTTTGAAGTTTGTTTGATTTCATAGTGGCTTTGTTTAAAATTTTCCTATGTAAAATATGTATCTACATATTTATAAACAGTGTATTTATCTAATATATAAATGTATATATCTATATATGATATATACATATATATATATATATATATATATATATATATATATATATATATAATATTTATATATTAGATATATGTATATATCTAATATATAAGCATGTATATATCTACATATTTATATATAAACAACAAGAAGTAAAAATAAATAAAGTAGTTTTTAGTGTATTTATTCACTTGTTTCAGTTTTTATTTAGTACTTATTGAAACTAATTATTTAAAAACATAATATTGCTTTAAGGTGGTACACCACCAAATATTCTAAAATGTTCAAACTTAAAAAAAAAAAGATAAATTTTATATCAATAAAAATAACATTAATTTGGAATGCTATTTTATACTTCATTTTTCTTTGCCTCGATTACTTTGCCTGGATTACTTTGCCTCGAATTTATCAAAAAACATTCATTTTAAGGGGTCCATTTAAAACACAATTACTTGAAATATATTAACATAACATCCATGAAACTTTTTACATATGTTTTAGACATGTAAGGTAAGGTATTGACATATGCATTTTAAGTTTTTCAAAGTACATAAAAAATTGTTTTAATTCTTTTTCATCAAGTAAAAAAAAAAACTTTTTGACATTTAAATTAAAAGAAAAAAAAGATTGGAGTCGAATTTTCAAATTTTAAAATGTCATTCCCTAGAATATAGTATAATAAACATTTCCTGAAAATTTGAAGTGGTTTGGACTTTTGCTTCTCTAGATATCATGTTTACAATCAGACCATGTTTCGCAAAATTTGAAAACGGAGAAAAACGCAAAAGAAGATTAAATATTCCTCTCATTCCTATATAATTTTTTTTTAGTTAGCTAATTTATCAAGAAATTAAAAGATATGTTGGGAATAAGGTTTTTATATTATTAATCTACGATAAATTTCCTATCAAATGAACGAAATATCAAAAATTCACTTTTTTTTTCAATTTTCAAAAAATATTTGGTGTTGTTTTTTTTTATATTATAAATTTATGTTTATTATAAATTCTTTTTTTTTTAAATCTAAAAATTTATTAATGAACTGATTCTATTTTTCAAAAGTTCTCAAAAAACATTAAAAAAAAGAAGAAATAATAAAGCCTTCCAAGAATTTATGAAACTTATAAAACTTATAAAACCTAATACAACACTAGTTTCACATCTGAATTTAGAAGAGCAAAATTTAAAAAAAAACACACCAAAAACTAGCTAAATTAGTATTTTCACGTTTTGATATTGTACTATTAAAATAGTACTATAAAAAATAGTACTAAAAAAGTTACGAAAATAGAATAGTTTAATATTTGTAAAACTATAATTAAATTTAAAAACAAAATTTACGAAAGTATTTACTTAGCTAGTTTTTTTTTTTTCTTCTTGTAAATTCCGATATAAAATACGAAAAAAACGTGTTTGTTTTTTAACAGAAACTTCTCGTTTAGTTTTTATTAGGGGTGAGGGTATTATTAAAACCAAAATTTTTAATTTATTTTTTTGTTTATTTTTCTGCCTGTTTTTATTTCGTAAATCCATTTGTTTTAAGTTAAATCTATTAACGCTAAAAACGAATTTGAGTTTAATGTTTTTAAATGTTCTCATTGTTTTTTGAAAAAGTATTAAGGAGCTAATAACAATAAAAAAGTTATTTTTTTATTTTTTAACAGTTATTTACTTAAAAAAGAAGTTTTTTTTTTATTTAAGTTTATTTTCTTGAAAAAGAATTATTGAACGTAAGTATAATACCTAAAATATTTCATTGATTAAGTAAGTATATTACCTATAATGCATCATTGAACGTAAATCGTATTCTGTATTTAAAG